TTCAATTTGCACGAACAACAATGAAACGCATTAACAATGACGACAATATTCATTATGTGAGGATTGAAAAGTTACGAATAATCGAAAAGGAAAGAAGGTAGACTCAGCATACAGGAATGCTAAACATAATCGATAATGGGGTTGGTTTACTCGACAGCCTCAAACTGTTGCTGACGAAATTTGAGAAGAAAATGGTTTTGACCTTTTATCGATTATTTATTGACCTGGCATCGAAACGACCTAATGACATTTTTAAACAAAATCTAAAAAAAGCAGCCATCGGCTCTACATTTTTTGTATTTCGTCTCTCTCTCTCTCTCTCTCTCTCTCTTTCTCTCGCGCGCGCGCACGTTTATAAGACATTCATTTTGAGCGAACCACGCTTTATCGCAAATATTTTCTCAAACGCTGTCTAACCATGTCAAGATTTGACAAGAAAATATTTCTTGAATTTCGCTAAGAAGCTTTCTCACGTGGACGAGGGGAACAATCTCAAAGAAGAATTACCGAATGGGAAACAGCCATTTTGCAAACAGACATTTTCAATTCTGCTGAGAAGCAATAATACCAGTACGAAGAAGGAGAAAGTTTCCATCGGCGAAGTTAAAACGAACTTGATGCTGTTATTATTATTATTATTTTTCAGTAAAAAAAATTTCTTTTCTTTTTTTATATCAATTAACTCAACGTGACACAAACGTGAAAATAAAATGAATATGCCTGATGGAAAGCTACGTTACGTGACAAAGATCGCTGCTTTTAAAGCGAAGTAGTCCAAACAGTGATTTGATTAAGAAATCCTGTTTTAACTACAAAGTTAAACTTCAAGCAGGAATGAATTCACTTGTTTACAAGATAGGTCTCTTTCATCTTTAGTTACACTCTTGTTATTATTCGCTTTGCTTCAAAACAGAGAATATCGAATTGTATCTCGAAAGGTCAGTACTTTGCCTCTCTCGGCAGCGGATAATAATTCTTTTTAAATATCTATTGATGAACACACGTGTTATTCCATCGAGATAATAAAATACATTTGTTAGGCGATTGTCATAAATTGTCCTTTATATCCGAAGCAATATTAATATTTTTCAATTCAATTGCTTCATTCGTTACTAATTTAATGTATTACCTTCACGAAAGAAGCAATCAGGTCGGAAAATTTCATACAAATTTCTTTTGCTAACGATCATACGCATCTTTCTTTCGAGAAAGGCATAATAAATCAGAAAGTAGGGCAAAATGAAATCTTCATTTCAATTTCCTCCAATGTCTTCCATTTGTGGTAGAAGCATTTACAAAAGATAGTGACTATCGTAATTCATCAAATTGAAAACCACAAGTAGAAAAGAAAAGAGGAGAGCAGCCTATTAGTTATAACCATAAGATATAACTCGATTAGTACTAAAATTACCTAGAGTCGATTCGCAATTTTTCATAAGAATTCATCTTATAGATCTTATACATTGGGAAATTTTCTCAGAAATTTGAATGAAATTTTCATAAAATGTACATTTTCATAAATATACAATATTTCTGTTCTTCATTTTATTATAAATTGTCGACAGTTCTACCGTTAAGATCCTAACCTTCAAAACAAGGTATTCCGCGTATCTTTTGTACACTTTTTACAATTCGATATCGAATAGTCGTCGCTAGTTCTGTCGTCAAAGACGTAATTTTACATTACAATTGACAATTAATAATGAATCTCTTTGCCCTTTTTTGTTTCCTTTTTACAAATGATCGACATTTTTAAGCACCTACATCACTGCCAGGGGCGCCATTGCTAAGCAAGAACAAAGCTTCTCGCGTATCGATAACATTACGCTCAGATAATACCACGTAATGTTGCCTCGACGACCCACTTTGATCCTCGATTCTCCTCTATTTAACAACACTCTCGAATCACTGTAAATTGTCTCTGGTCTCTCCTTTTCTCTCTTCATCGTCACACTTTCTTTACCAATCGATTACCGCAACGAACAGTCGCAAGATCCGCGAAAGTGGCTAGACGAAAAGGTCTGAATAACGCTCGAGATGCTTTAATAACAAGACGTGGCGACGCCAATCCAAAGTCGTCTCCTGTTTCCTTCATGTTGTCGTTTCCGAAAACATTTACTTGGAATTTTACTGATTCCGGGAACTCTGTACGCGAGGAGACGATTAAAAAAGCGTCTCGTCGCAACCTCGTTTTCAACGTCGATCCGAGCAACCCCATGGAACCGGGCTACGTTCGAGCTAGCTGGTGAGCCAGCAGGGCGAAAGGGGTGGTTGTAGTGACGTATCGACCGACGGGGTCACCTGAGGTCACCAAAGTTCATAGCGTCTCCTGGTTCACGAACTCGCCGAAACTATGGCCGCCATTCTGTTACCGTTTGTACGCGGACGACCATTTCGTTTCAAATCGAAATCTGTTTTTTTCCTTCCCCTTTTTTCTTCTCTCTCTCTCTCTCTCTCTCTCTCTCTCGTATTTCCGTCAAAATCAATGCGCCAGTGCCCATTGGCTGCTTCGAACCTGCATGTGGTACTCGAATTTTTGGGTCAGCTTCTCGAAGGCGAGATCGATCAGCTTTTTAGCCGTAGTTACAGCCCCTTGGCTCTCTTCTGTTTCATTTCTAATTTTCCGCCGGAATTAATACGCCAATTCGTCGGATCGTGTTTCTCGAGTTTTTGCATTTTAGAAGCCCGTACTAATCAGCCCTTTGCTTTGCTTACCGTCTTTCCCGCTTGATTTTAAATTAAGTTTCAAATTTTAATGTTTAATGTTATGATTCTCGGATTTTTCTATTAGTTTCTAGAGAAGCTAAATTAATGCTTCGTGTTGAGCGCTTCTCGGTTAATTTCAAATTTTCTGTTAAAAATCAATGCTGTTAATAGATAACACTCGAGGCTTGTAATTTTCCTACTTTTCTGTTATTCTTTTACAATGTTATTCTGTTTTTTACATTATTATTCTATTCTTTCACAATATTAATTTAAACACCGTATTTTTCGATTAATTTCGAAATCAATGCCTAAAACATATTCTTGAAACTTGTAATTCTCTCAAATTTGCGTATCTGCCTCTTAGAAAGTGAGAATTGCTCGCAGCTCTTTATTTCAACAGCAGTTAAACTGAAAGCTACAGAATTAATTTATCAATGTATTGTAACTTCTCTAACGAACGATCAAATTTTATCAAGATTTATGTACGCTATAATGTAATTCATGAGTTTAATCGTGATGTTTCTTGTGGTACAAGAGGGAAGCGTTTAATTACATTCGGAAGACGTTTAATTAACAGACAGGACATTAGCAGGCAATCTTGGTGTCTTGTTGTTGATGTCAGTATGTTTGATCAGTTATACGTTATTCCACTGGAGGCCACATTCGCGAGGCAACGTCGGAGAATAGTACCGTTGTCGTTGGAATTTGAAAGCTGCAACATTCACGATGTAATTAAACGTTCAGATTATTTATTTAAACGTCCCACGAATTTCGGATGGCATTAATAAATCGTGCAAAATTATCAACATGGAACATAATACATAACATTTAAGAGAAAATACAATATACACAAGCATCATCTAGTATCACCTGTTACGCATAATTTTACGATATACTAAAACATTTTGCCTGTATTTTATCCTCCCGAATTTATCAAATTTATTAGTAGAATTTTGAATCGTAAAAGTCATAAATATTATATAAAATGTCGATTATTTGAAACTATGTATTTATGCAGCAGATTGATCGCGTTTAATCTTCGCCTTCGGTGTAATGTGCATAACGTTTAGCATAAACTCGTGAATTAATATGCATATAATGGAACGAAGAAGAAGAGAGTGATTTGTCAGTGATATCGTATAGATAGTGGAAGATAAAGCTATCAGATTATCAAGCGGATGATAGCCTAGAGTGGATGTAAGCTAATCTCTCCTGTTATCGTCGCTTTATTCCCTTGAAATACGATATGTCATTTTTAATGCGTCGTGCATAGTAGATAAGCGGTGAAATCTTGTACAAACTTCGGGAATTGGGGTAAACAGTTTCATCGACACGCATCAGGTGCTCTCGCACTTGATGAACACGGTGTTGTAGGTGAGTTGTAACATCGAAACCTGCTCTCCAGCAAATCGTCTTTCACTTGTGTGCAACAACTTTCCGAAACATTGTGTCCATCGATTTACACTTCAAAGCGGTGATCTTTGAAATGAATTTATACTCATTTCGATATTTATTCACCGAATGATATTGTTGTTGACTCAAGTACTCAAGATCAATTAAACGACGTGTAGTTTTAATTTACGATCAACTTCCCGAGGAATTACGGCTTGCATGATCCAAGACGAAGAAATGCTTTCGTGTGTTTTTACACGTGCGCTTTAACGCGTTTCTATAAATGTACTGCTTAACAGTACGGTCGAATATCGTGCATTTGCCGAAGACTGGAATTTCAGAACAGAATTAAAAATAAACGTAGTCACGTTCGGTTAAATAAAGGCTTACATCTCACGTAGTAGATCGAGGTCAAATTAGCCCCCGTCTTGCTCGCTGCGCATTATTTTACCCCATTAATTGAAGCAAGTGAGAGAGTACAGAGGCAATTGAAATTAAAAAAAAAGAGGAAACGAATGTAAATGAAACTGTACACGCAATACCAATGAGTAGAAATGATTTCCAATTTTTTTTAAATTTCTTCTCTCTACTACTCGTTTGTGAGAAGCAAACATTCTCCGAAATAACGACGTTATTTGCGAACTTTCCTTTAAAGATCTACAAATATTTATAGATATCTATAATCTATACATATTTATAAATATTTCTACAAATGTTTTTTTTTTTAATGGTAAATAATTATTCAAAAACTTCGATGAATTTGAAAATTTCATTCTAAGATATTCATCCCTCGGCAGAGAAAATGTTCATAGAGCGAAGGATTGAAGAAATTAAAAAAAATTTACATGAGCATAGAGTGCCGTTCTAATTGCCCGCTAACTGTTGATCGACTGTATTTGCAGGATGATCGGTGCAATGCCAGCGGTGGCAGTTCGCCACGAACGTAAACGACAAGAAAAAAGACTAAAACGTCCTAGCCAACTTTACCTAGGGGGCCAATGGATGCCACCGCCTCAAGGCTCGCCGCCAACCCCCAGCCCTCATGGCCACAACAGCCACCTGGAGCCTTTACCCGAATTGTATCTTTGTGGCAAGGTAATTTCTCACTTAAACACACACACACACACATGCACACATAAGCGATGACACCGCGAAGATATCGTCGTGTATTTATTGATCTCGTGGAACTTGATGCGCTACGCATCAAGTATTTTTTTTTTTTTTTTTTTTTTTTTTTTTTTTAAT